CGCTTGCAGAAAAGCTCTGAAGTAACCCCATATGTTTGTTTACAAATTTCATGTGATGAAGCGTTTTACGCATTCTGATTGGCTTAGGGCAAAAATGTAAACAAAAGCGCTGATTGGTCGAGAACGAAATTCCCCCTTGTTGCCCCTGACGCCTTCTCGTATTGTGTGAACAAATGGAACAGAGCATTCAATGCCAAGTCTGTAGTTACGATAACAGATGTATCATCAGCGTGTTGACATAACTTTACCGTCCGGCCATTTGGTAAGATGTACCTATCGATGAAACGGTCCGCACGAATTGCACTAGCTATTGTTTCCGCCACCAATACGTAGAGTAAAGGGGATAAGGGACAGCCGTGACGAACACCTCGAGAGACAGAGAAAAACTCAGTTGTTTCACCATTGATCAGGATACGGGAAAATATAATTAAAGTACCCATTTCTGGAAGGATTGACCAAAATTCATAGTCTTCAATACACGGGATAAATACCCCCATTCTACCCAATCAAGCGCCTTCTCCTGGTCAAGCGAAATAATTGCAGCTGCTTTACGATTCTGATTGGCATGAAAAACCACACCCTTCAGCAAACGAACACTTTCTAACGAATTCGGGCCCGGCACCCCACAAGTTTGATCCGAATGAATTACCTTGGCAATAACACCCAACAAACGATTGGCAATAGCTTTGGCAACAATTTTATAGTCAGCGCATAATAATGTAATGGGACGCCAATTCTTCATATCAAGACGATCCCCACGCTTATGGATGAGCGTGATAACCCCCGATCGCTGCGAGGGTGACAATTGTCCATGATTATAAGCAAATACAGTGCTCTCTTGCATTCCCCCTCAGTTAGTTCCCCTTCACACAAACTTTGTTCAGCGCTGGACAGTTTCATTGACAAGGAATTCAAGAAGAAGTCTTGGTCGATCTAGGCTTTGCGATGTAAATAGTAAACCATAAAAGGCCACCCACGCCCGAGCGATACCTACGAAGGTAGAAACCACCGTGCCGGCCATGTTTTTAACTGAAGTAAAGATCCTGCGTTGACCACGTTTACGTTCTAAACCGAAAAAATACTTGGTAGAGGCTTCTCCCTCTTCTGCCCATTGAACGTTTGCGCGAATACGGGCTCCTCTCGCTTCATCTCTATGAGCAGCCTCCAGTTCACTTTTAACATCTTCAATGACTGGAAGGACCTCGTCACCATTAAGCAGACGTCTGTTCAAATGAAATAAGGTATGCTATAACGATGTAATGAGCTTTCGATAGCTGACAGCTTTTTTCTTAGAAAATTCACGGATTTATTGTTTTAGTCGCACCTTGCCTGCATCCCACCACGCAGTAAACGACAAGAAAGAACATTTATACACTCTCCAAGATGACTAAAAGTCCGACACTAGTTTAACGAAGGACTCATCTGGAAGGTGCCGAGTATTCAACTTCCAAACACCATGTCCACGATGGGTGCCGGACGGAAGACAAAGCTCCAAATATACAGTGGAATGGTCAGAGCGGAAAAAGGGAAGGATATCGACACGCTTGACACAGGACAAGAGCAAGGCAGAAAGTCAAAACATGTCTATTCGCGAGGCTTGGCGGCCGTTGGGGCGATGCCAAGAGTACTCCTGAGCATTTGGATGAATTGTACGCCATGCATCGTGCAAATCATACGTGCACATTAAGTGATGCAAAGTCACTGACCAATTATACGCCGAGGGTGATTGAGAGTTACAACCAAAACGGTCTTTGATCGGATCCACCACAGTATTAAAATCGCCACACAACACCGTCGGGGTGTCGGGATCAAGCAGTTGATATAATGATTCAAAGAAAGTAGACGCAGGCTTTGCGGTATTTGGAGCATATATGTTCACCAACTGGATCAAATTACCATCCTTGGAAAACTCTGCGTACAAAAGCCGACCATCTTGGTCACGAGAGCAACTAACAACATCATAACTAGGATTGTATAAAATGGCAACCCCGCAACTAAGAATGGTTCCCGGAGAAGAAATGCATTTGTAACCAAACTTATTACAGCCCGACGAGGTGGCATGATGCAACGAAGATGAAAACTTTTCCTCGGAACTTGAATGAGTCTCATGTAGACACACAAAATCAGTTTTAGCGTAATTTGCCCACTGAAACAACGTTGCTCTGTTATCAGCTGTGCGCAGACCCCGGCAGTTTAGTGTGATAAATGTTAACTTGCTCATGTCGATTGTTGTAAAGGTCAAAACGAGGACACAAGGTGAAAACAATTCTGACATTAAAAAGAAGGATTGCCAATCCTTTTCGTTACCGGAACCGCAAAGGTTACGGGATCAATCGGAGATGGAGATTCCGAATCAAGATTTTCCTTCCTGGGAAGGTTCGGTGGAATTTGAGTTGAGGGAGTAGTCCGAGTATCATTTTCCTGAGCCGTGCTAAATTCTGATCCATTTTCAGGTATGTTAGGGTATTCGTTATCTTTGGCCATAGACGGTTCCATATTATCATTACCACCATCCTCCTCATCTCCGCCTTCATAAGCTTCGATGGAGGGCTTACCAAGGATTTCGGAAGCAATAGACACAGAGTCATCCGCAGGAGGAGCGGAGGGAAGAGGTGAAGAATCATCCACTTTAGAAGGCCTTTGCGATTTGCGGGTACGAACCTTCCTCTGCACAGATGTAGTTCTTTCAAGTGGAATTGCAACACCATTTGCATCATGCTCCATGGATATGGGATCAACTTCGTCACTACGAGACGAAAACGAATTGGGGGAGGAAACGCGAGCCAAAGGACTAGGAGGGAGAGGCAGAGAAGAGGGGACAAAATCATCCTCAACTACACTCCCATCTGAAGACGGATTTCGATCGACTCGCTTTTTCAAAATATCGGAAACATCCGAGTCATCAGGTTTCCTAGTGCGTTTCCCAAGAACTATAGAAACTGGCTGCTCGCCACCTTCATTTTCTGGTAATGGCAGTTCCTCTAGGACATCAACAAACTCATCTTCATCTTCCGAGTTGTCAGAATCTTTACGAGAAGATGGCTGAACTGCGGGAGAAGAAACTGCTGTAGAGGACGGGGGTAACGTAGCTGTGTCCCCGCCTTTATTGATGATTACCAAGATTATTATTTGTAGAACTAGCATGCAAGCCCAGACTATGGCTATCGGCATTACTAGCTGTAATGGACGGATGAGGACCATCTGTTAATTGCGGAAAACGCGTGTGGCTCTCATCAGTGGTATGCCTAACAGAATTACCCATACTATGGGCACCAATGCGTTCGTCAGGTACTGTACTGGTCGACGGTCGATTTACTCTCGTCGATGGACTATCTGCATTGATGATATTGTCTGTAGTACGCGCGTGATTAGGGCAATCTTTAGTCATATGACCTGTCTGGTAGCACGAAAAGCACGTTTGAACCTGATCAACATAAAAACAATTACAGGAATGAGCTGCAATAGTCAACCGCGAAGAAATGGGTTTAGACAGTTCCATTAAGACCTGACGGACCCCAACATAAACTCCATGAAAGGAGTCCATTTTAATCTGAATGACTTTGCCGTATGGCTTCAAACATCAGCAATCACTTCATTGGGAATCCCATAACTCAGGCGCGTAATGTTTACCCATTTGGCCGTCCTGACCGGGTTGAACGTTAGACGAACATCTCGAAACGTAAGCCCGAGATGACACACTTCTTCCATATTCAATGCGGTGCGACAAATAATACGAACTTTGCGAGGCGATAATAAGACAAAAGCCTCGAATAACTTGGGAAATTTATCTCCCGTTTGGCGATGGAAGTCTTCCATTATGTTTTTGACAGTTACCTTGGCCTGCCCTTGAGTATTAGGAAGCTCTACATCCACCGTTCGATTTGAAAAAGGAATCTTCATGCTTATAACAACTTTAACACAAAGCACGAAATTCTATCAAATATGAGGGTAACCCCACACAATAAATTATACACAAAATATTACCCCTCACAATCGAGGAACCTAACAAAATAATCACGAACAAGAAAGGAACAAACCCCTTCCTTAGAGTAGCCCCCTAATAGGCCCCTCAAACGGGAACAGCCAGAAACCACACAAAACTCCCTAAACAACACACTTAAAAGAAAAATAAATAAGGTTACCCCGCCCAACGACTATTTGCCACCGGACGTTGTTGAATCTTGGAAAAAGGAACCACCAAGACAAACCAAGCCGGACCAGGCCGCACGACCAAGCAGGACCAGGCAGCACGACCAGGCAGGGCGACCAGGCAGCACGACCAGACAGCAGGACCAGACAGCAGGACCAGGCAGCACCAATAGCCTTAGTACTTTTGTAAATACGGCCTTTTGGAGCTGAAAATCCTAAATTTCTCCCCTAATTTTCGTGCAGTGTGTAAGCTTAATTTTTAGCCTACCAATGCTTTCGTTGTTGAAAAATTATTGGTACAGCTTTGATACACAGCTTTCTTAAGAGCATTCAGAAATTATTGGAGGGCGGTTTGGCCCCCTCACTGCACGATCTTCCTATATCTCATATATAGAAATAATATACATTAGGATCATGCAAATGATGTCTATTATTTCTATGCTCCCAGTCTTTACCACTGGTTATAAACAGAAGAAATTAAAGCTTAATTTTATCAGAGAACTCGTTTCCATTTTTTAGAATATTCGGTATTACAATTTTAACCAAACTCATATAAAGTTGTTATATCGAGTTTTTATTATTTCGTCATTACAGGTTCACTCATTCCCTTGTATACTATGGTGTGTCGTATGGTTCTGTTGATCTTGGTGGGAATAGATATCTGAACTTTTTCTTGGTCAGTATTGTGGGAGTTCCTGCGAATTTTGCTCTAATGTGGGGACTTAACAGGTTTGAAAAAACTATAAATACAGTACGTATTGGCTGCTCGATTGTTTAAATCATTGTATATTGTACGGAGCATAAAATCATAAGTATATCCTACTGCCTAGCCAAACTGTAACCACGAGTCTTTATTCTTGATGAAAACTCCAAACACCAAGCTTCAATTTAGACCCTCCGGTATAATAGTTGAGTTTTCGGGTTTTGATTAGGATAAAGACCCCAGGTTACTAGGCTAGGATTGCACGGTTGCTATCCAGTGATCAACTCTCATCAACTGGTTCAAATTTTAAGGAGAGTTGATGAGAGTTTTCGCTACGCGCGCGGTCATATACAATCAACTCTCATTAACTCTCATGCAACTCTTGTTCTCCTTTGGTCGGGGCATCACAGTTGAGAAAATCTCATTGCAAGCTCTCGCTTCTCAACTCTCATCAACTCTCATTCTCGCTTAATCAAGGATTTAAAGTTGCCGGATATGATGTCAATGAATGAATTGTAAATTAGTTTTCCTTTGTTTTGTTGTTGCTAAATTTTATCTAATGAAATCCTACCCGGCAATTTTGACAGTGACTAAATTGGCGGATCAAGATGAAATGTTTTACCATAAAGATATAACGCATTTCTTCTTGGAACTGATGACCCAAAATACTGTACATACCAAAATTCACTTTCAGGGTTAGTATAGCACTTCAAAACAGCAAATTTAATTGTTAAAATTATACCCTTCTTAGATTTGGTCGCAAAATATGTATTATTTCTGGTTTGATTATCACAATCGTGGCGTCCGCAATTTCAGTCTCAATACCAGCAGATCAGAGTCCAGGCTAGTACACATAGGCTATATTGCTATTTACAATTACTATATATCTACACAATTACTGTGACACTTGGTATAATTACTAAACTTGGTGAACTCGACTCTCTTTTCTAGCTAATATTGGTGGTCGTGTCACTGCAGCTATAATAGCAAAATTTTTTATTGGTTTTTCCTTTGATGGTTGTTATGTATGGACCAGTGAACTGTACCCAACAGTTATAAGGTATAATCTCAAAACATTTTATGCACGTGATCATGTTTAGGTGCACGTTGTAGGGTCACATTATATCGATTTAATCCAAGTTACAACATTTTGTCCGACACATTTAACTTTTAACTATGGCAGAAGGCAGTCGAGTTGTAGGTTTTTGGTAATTTGTGTCTGTTTTGGTAACTTTTTGTCACCAGATCTGGTAATTGGCTCTGGAATAAACAGGTAACATTAGGGAGTTCAAGCTTCCCGTTTCCGGGAACGGCAAACGGCAGGTTCGAATTTTCTTGGCAACATTTTCGTTGGACGTTTTCGTTTCATATTTTCTTTCTTGTGCGAAAAGAATAATCATGCATTGCAGTTTAAAACAGCAAGTTCATTTACTCTTTATTGCTTGATACGGTAAAATTTTTCTTTGTCTGGCCTTTGTCGTTTGACGTATAACGCGAAGCTTAAACTCTCTATTGTATGTTACTTTTACTTTTTGTACAATGTAAAAGTAAGATTACGCCTGCTGGCGAGAGCATTATTTAAGATTTTATCATTTTTTAATCTGCAGAGCAACTGGAATGTCCACATCTTCCTCAGCTGCCAGAATTGGTTCATTTGCCGCCAGCTATATTATTTGGCTTGTGAGTAAAGTCATTTACAAAACGACTCTAATTCTTTGAAGTGCAAATCAACTGACATTAATTGTTGTGCCTACTCAAAAACAGTCAAAATATAGGCTAAATGACATCCTCTCAATATATTAATCTGAAGTTCCCTGATTCTTCTTGAGCAAAGTTTTGAAGTTGAACAATCATGATTTCTTATATTTGTAACAGGCATATGTTATTTTTGGCAGGTCTAAATTGGGAAATTGTCATCTAAACGTTGTTGGGAAAACGGCTTATAACGCCGAAGTGTTTTACTTTAGTTAATACCCTGAAGGACTAATTAATTCAGTAGGAAATCAAATAAATTACAAAATACTTGACCACGTTTCAAAAATAATCCTTCGTAAAGGGTGATCTGAAGTCGCAACATGGTTTCTTACATACCTGTGGGATGACGTCATCTACATGCCAATACGATGGATATATTCTTGTGGCAAATAAGCACCGTTATCCCTCTCTGGTTATCCCTATTCAAAGGACACGCTTCTGGGCAACGTCTTTGGCCATGGCGATTATTAGTGGCAATGAATCTAGAGTTTTGCCACGCAATCACGTCTTTGGTGGTTCCACAATTAAAGCCGAAAGGTCCTGTTCAAACAAATCAGAAAACTCATGTTGTATATTCTATATCGTGCGTGACTGCGAGAAAGAGTATCTGGGTCAGTCTAAACGCCAGTTTGGCACACGCCTAAACGAACATCAAAAGGCTGTTTCAACTTCAAATCAGGGGAAATCAGCTTTAGCGAACATGCGTGTGACACCAAACACGTGATCCGCGTGGGAAAACTCCAGAGTCATTACTACGGACAATCGCCATGGCCAAATTAAAGCTTGGCATGTAAATATGAGTAATCATGCTCTGAATAGGGATGACGGTGCTTATTTACGATTTTGTTGTATTCACCTGTAGGTGAATATAACAGCTCAATACGTCTAATTTGACCAACCAACTTGTAGGACTTGTTAATATTCAAAATATGTGTGCAAAATACTAAAAGAATATATCCATTTTGTTGGCAGATGACGTCATCCCATTGGTATATAAGAAGCCACGTTGCAACAGTTCGGGTCACCCCTGGCCCTGATTAAGACACTAGACGGTAGTATCGACAAGTTGGGTCGTGGAATGCAATTTGACTGGGTTTACATTCATTTATTAAAACCAGAGTAGCGAGCAAAAACATGACTGATATTACAACTGGTTGCCGTGAACTCACAATATGGTCAAATTTCTTCAATAATAATCTTCGATGTTCTTCTTTTCTTCAATATTAATAATCCAATATACTCGTGCGTATATTTTTTTCAGATTCGTATTCATGTAGCACTGCCGTATAGTATATTTGGTGTGATTTGCCTTCAAGCAGCTGTACTGGGATTATTCTTACCAGAGACCAAGGGTGCGCCAACCTTGGAGACAATGGATGATATGAATACAAGAAATGGAATGGCTTTGCATGTGATTTCCAACGATAAACAAACTCGAGAAGAAACCTAACACAGTAGTACTAGTATAGTAACATTGCATCATAATAGACCTTTTCGCAGTTTTTCTAAATTTTTATATGGCCAAGCTTCAATCATGGCAAGCTTCAATCATGGCAAAAACTAATGAAACACCTCGGTTGATTTAGTGTTTAAATTTGTCCTTACCTCCCTCCTTACAATGTTGGTTAGCTAAGTTAAAACATGGGACGATGGTGTTCTTTGCAATCGACAAACCTACTCTACTCCGTATTATTCACAATGTAATATCAACATTGTTCGGAGGAAGGGGAGAGGGTTGCATTGTTTCTGAACAACGTTTCATTAACTTTTTGCCAGCATTGTTTTATAAAAACTTTTATATTGCGGGAAAATATTCACTTCGCGATATAAAAACGCAAAGCTGTAGACTGTATTATCCTTATTTTATAATATTTTACCACCAAACTTTGCAATTTTACTTGATTTTTTTAGCTTCAGTTCTTTGCTTAAATAAAAAAATGAAAAACCCGTGTAAAGGTCTATATTTATTTCGCCAAAAAAGCCGTTCAATGGCGGAATGGCGGCAAGCTATTAATAAGATTTATATAAAACTTTTTTTTTTACCTGAGGATACATTTGTTACAAATATCACTGCAAGTGGAATTTATAACAGCTATTTTATTCACTATAAAAATCAGACCTCATTACTATTTTATTCAATACTAGAATCTAAGTGTAGTATTGTTTGTATCAATGATAATCATATAAAATTGAAAAGTTAAATTTTCTCGGGGGGGGGGGGTGTTCACTGCTTCCCACCCCCTCACCCTTCCGGCTGCGAACAGCCCTATTAGATGTGAGTAGTATGGTCCTACAATTACAACTGTAAATATTTTAATCTGGAATGACCATTTTAGCGCAAATTACTGGTATATCAATGACCTGTTTATGCACGCATATATTATTTTCTGATTTTACTCTAGTTTAATTAGTACTTGGCGCCTTGGCGGTCATTCACTTTTTAAAGTTGTCGATTGACCACAACATTTATTGCTATTTGTACATTCATATACGCGTAGCATACCTATTTTTATACATGTATATGTAAACAAAGTAGTAGAGTAGTAAGTTACTTCATACTGAATTATACAGAGGAGGTTGGACAAGCAATAGCGAGTTGTTACGTGAACTCTCGACCAATGAGATTCGGTATTTTGTATTTTCCGCGTTCGCCCACGAACGCAGCATTCTGATTGGCTGTTTGCTGTTGAATTCTATAATTACGGATCAGGGATTCATCGCAAAGGCTCTCGATAAGCTTAAATTCGAAAATTGATCACCTTTTTCGATTAAAAATGGAACAAGAACAGACTGTTTATTGTTTACTTGAAGGAAGAGATGGAAAAAACCCGTTATGCCAATGGGGATTGCTTGTCGTGAAGTGTTGGAATAGCAACATTACGACTGGGGTAAACTATATAGTAACCTTTACTTGAGTTTCATTAATTTCAAACAGACTTGATACGTTATATGTTCCTCAAGAAAATTATCTTTTGGTTGATGTTGACTCTGTTTTTGTACTGAAGAAAACAGCTACCGCTTTTCGCCGTGAAGATTTAGAGGCAGTTGCATGTAAGCATATTCGAAACACTTTGCGATTTGCAAGGCTTCGCTGAGAGAGCGAAACAGAATACGGTAATATTGCCGTTTGAAACGAAACGATCTGGACGCTGTGAACGCTCTCTTATTTTGTGGAGTTCTTTACCAAATGAAATAACTGAAATAAATTTCGTACTTTCCGCCGCCAACAAGAATTGCACACGCGATCTGATAAGTGAGACAATTTATTTATAACAATGGCGACAGCGAAGCACACATTAATGCTAATGTGGTCGCACGACTTCCCTCACGATTTGAAGTTTGAGACTGATTTTCTGTTGATATTCGTCCTAATTTGCCTGTTCCAATCTTAGATGAAAATGAGCACTTGCAAATTTGGCAATTACTGACTGCGTTGCTTGCTTTTTTGGAGTTAAAACGCAGCCATTTACACATTGTTTCTGTTCTGAATAAGCAGAGAAAACCCCGCAACATTTTAATGCGAGTTTGTTGTTAATATTTGGGTTGCTGTCATTGGTTCTTTTTTAACAATTGACGCGCAGAATGGGGCGTGTTATGAAAAGGGGCGTTTTACAAAATACCGGGTCTTGCTTGCAGGCCCACTATTCTTCCCTTGGGTCTGCACGCGGGCTAGCCCTTCGCTCTCCGAGGCTAGGGTAGCCTTCGAACAGGCTCTCTTTGAACTTCGCAGGCTAAGCCTAGGGTATAAAGAAATGTGAGTGAAAGTACTGTGTCGTCAGAGCTAACGCATGTTTTCCGCGTTGTTCTGAAGTTGGAGTTGCTCTGAACTCAACTTAGGAGGGTGATATTATTAGTTTTATTCTAAATTATCTGACGACGAGAGTGTGAGACATATTTGCTGCGCTGGGACTCCACTCGTTCTGATAGTACCATAAAATACTATACATTTTAGAATCACAATTTCGAATATATATATATGTTATTTACCGGATTGGAGGTCCGTATAGAGAAATATTTCTCGAGGTCTTATAATAAAATAAATTTTTATTTTTTTTAATCCCCCCCCCCTCATAAATTCATATTCCCCCAAATAAAACGTCGTTTCTATCAATACTAGGAAAAGTAAAATCTTCTGTTTTATAGTAAAATACTAAAATTCACTTTCGCTGTGTTCTTCATCGTCTGCAGACATTTTAATGTTCCAAAATAGTAGCCTTTTTAAAGACGTCTTTGAATTTTTAAAAATCAAAAAGCATTGGCTCTACGGCTTTAAATCTCGCGCGGTCCGTACGGGCTCATACGGACCGCTCGCGTGGGCAATCAGATTACAGAAAAGCGTAAAATATGATTTCGGACCGCAAGGAAAAAAAAATTTGGTTATTTTACAGTCTCCGGGAAAACAAAAAGGAACCTAATAGTTTATGCCCACATAAGGCAATGTTCTACTAACATTAGGCCAAAAAAAATATGTGGGTTTCCGGTTTCTTCTTATAAAAATGTAGGTAGGGTAGGTCGGTTTTAACTTTTTTTTTTAACTTTTTTTTTAATTTTCCGAACAAGCGGACGCCATTTTGTTTAGTCAGTGCTTCCACATCCAAAGATAAATTTCCCTAATATTGCCTCAAATTTCAATTTTCACAAACTTTTTCCTCTGAGTGGGAACACTTACAAGCATGATCCAATAAAAAAATTTAGGATCGGGATTTCGATGTCCAAAAGCTAGGTAGAGTCGGGAAACCGGAAACCCACATATTTTTTTTGGCCTTAGTGAAAATTAGTTATTGTGGTAAGTTAGTAATATTATAGCCCCGTTTACACTACGCTCAATTTTTGGTACGGCACGGATTATTATAAACTTTCGTAAACTTCGTGCTCGTTTTGCTATGATTTGTATTAAACTTCAACCTATCTTATTTACATTATACATAAAACGCATGCTTTATGCAAAACTCTCAAACTGTCAATCAAACATGTTCGCTTCCGGTGAAGACATGACGTAATTTTCCCTTAATATCAAATGTTTCTCACACTCCCCAGGGTTGACAAATATGTTGTCAACTAATCCCTATTTAATAT